GTCAAGGTTACATGATCTATTGGTATATTCAGTTTCATTGGTCCATCTGAGGATTTAGCTGTCAAGATAATTTCATTGGATGGTTGAACGTCTTTTGATAAAATACAATAAACTATGAATCTAACACCTGGGTAAATTTCTGGTATTTTATAAGGTGCTTGTTGTAATTTAATGTGTCTCAATAATTTTTCAATATCTTTTTTAGGTTTTTCTGGTTTTTTTGTTGTTGTAGATGTTGGTTGTGGTGGTTCATTACTAAAAAAACTAATTACAGGTTTATCTTTCTTTTCCTTCTCTCTCTCTTTTTCTTCTTCGACTCCCTCTACTTCAAACAAATAATTAAAGAATTTATCTTCATCTTCATCTTGTTTGTCATAACTTGTTGTCCATTTAATTTCATAATCATTGATAGGTGGTTTTACAGCATTTTTCAACATTCCCAAAATTTTCTTATCCATTCTTTCTTTATTAGTAACAAATTCTGCATATCCATTACCAGCTCTAGCAACTGATTCTACTAAATTATGTGAAACACTATCACCAATACCCAATGTAAAAATTCTTAAACCATTATTTTGCTTTTTATCTTCAACATTTTGATCAATCAATTCAATGATTTGATCAACTTTCCAAACTTCACCATCTGTCAATAAAAATAAAGTGGTGGTCATAGTTTTCAATTGATTATCAAATACCCATTTTATAGGGTTGTAAATTTCTGTTCCACCATAATCTGCATCTAATTTTTTTGCCAAGTTGATGGCTTTATTCAATGTTTCTTGAGAGTATTCTTGAGATTTTGGAAATAGTGAATCATGACTACTACCAAATGATACCACATTAAAGTAACAATCTTCTGGTAGTGAACGTAGAAATAGTTCTAATGCTTGGCCTGCTTTTTTAATTGGTTCACCTTGCATTGATCCTGATCTATTTATTAATATTATTAATGTAATTTCTTTAGTAATGATTATTTTGACATGAAGAAAACAATCAAACGAATAAATGAATGATTAAATTACCTGTCAACTATAAAAACTATTTCAGTTTGAATTGGGCTTAAAGAAAATTTTGGAACTAATGTCAACATTAAACAATTAGATTCTGTTTTAGGATTATATTCAAGGAATGCCCTAATAAATAAATAGAAATATATTTCTTAAAACTGTATAATAATAATAACAATGTATATATGAACATAATTAATTAATTAAAATTACCTTGGTTTATCAAGATTTTCACTCTTGACAACTAGAATAAAATCCTTATCTAAATAAGTAATATGCTCAGCCAAAATAACATTAGAAATTTTAGAATTGCCATCAATATTCAACTCGGTAGAGATCAAATGAGAAGGAGACTCAATTGATTGGATGGTTGAGGTCATTCTACAATTAACTTTTAAATCTAGTTCATAATTTGCTTTTCCAGAATATTTTACATCATCAGATACAAGTTTTTTACCATCATTAGCTGTTGAAGAAGAAGATCCATATCTTTCTGCAATACAAGTTGGTAAAACAAATCGT